GTGGGGAAAGGGAAAGTGGGAGAGTGGGGATGAAAGGAGAGTGAGGTGGGCAGGGAAGCCACTGGCTGCCTTGCTTCCTCCCCGGACAATGGGACCCATGATTCCTGCCACACGGGGTCGTTGTATGCCTGGAGAGGCTGTGGGAGCCTGGCACACTGAGACTGAGACCCTGGGGACGGTCTCACACTGCTGAGGGCCTGGACACACCTCTCTGCTGCTTGCTCTGCCCTGAGCTCCCAGAAGCAGCGCTATTGCGGACTCCTGGGCCACCTGCCAATTGTCTGACCAGACCTGCAGGCTCGGGCTGCAGATTTGGGGATTCTTGTGGTCTGGGAAGCAGGGTGTCAGGAACAGGAGTGAAGTCTCAACCTGCTCTGTTCCCCCCCACAGAGATCCGAGAGGCCTTCAAAGTCTTTGACCGAGACGGCAATGGCTTCATCTCCAAGCAGGAGCTGGGCACAGCCATGCGCTCCCTGGGCTACATGCCCAATGAGGTAGAGCTGGAAGTTATCATCCAGCGACTGGACATGGACGGTGAGCGCTGCCCCGTGTGATTCCTCACCCTTCACCTGGGGGGGTTTGGGTCTGGGGCATGAGCCACTGGGGACTCTCACGCCCTCCACTACCATTCATTCCCAAGCCCCTGGCAGTTTATAGCCAGGTCTGGCCCCATTTCCTAGCCTGGAGAATCGTGGCCAGAGTGTGACAGCCCCAACCATGCCCAGAGGTCAGAGACTCTACCTATCTTGGTCTGTATTCTGAGAAAATTTTAAAGTACAGAAAAGTAGAAAGAAGTATATACTAAATACCCCAGGTCTCACCATTCAAAATAAATAATTTAGCTGTATTTGCCACCTGGCATTTTATTATGGAAAAACTCATAAGGACCATTAATGCCCAGTCCCCTCCTCTCATCCCCCTATGCCCCATACTCCACCCAGAGAGAAGGTGGTGGCCTGGGCAGGTGGTCCCCCCTCCTGAGCTTCCTTTCCTGTCTGTGTGGTGGGGGAATGTCAGGCCCCAAACCTACCCTGGGACAGCAGCAGGGCCCTGGGAAGCCATGGAGGGTACCAAGTGAAACAGCATCTCCCACGTGCTCAGGGCACACCTTCTGCACGCCACCTCCACCTCGCCAATGGAGCCTCTTCACACTTAGCTTCAGCATCACCTAGAGCTTGGCACATTAAGTGCCCCTAAAATTGAGAAGGCTTGGAGGGGACCTGCCTGAGGTCAGACAGTTGCAGGCTAACCCTGCTGATTGGACCTGTGACCACTCTAGGTGATGGCCAAGTGGACTTTGAGGAGTTTGTGACCCTCCTGGGACCCAAGCTCTCCACCTCGGGGATCCCAGAGAGGTTCCTTGGCACTGACTTTGACACTGTCTTCTGGAAGGTATGCTGTGTACTGGCTGGGACCCAGGGCTGTGTACACTGTGAAGGGCCATACTGAGACCAGTGAATGGCCAGGCCCATTCTGTAAAGGGGGAATGACCACTTCAGCCTTCTGTCCACTGGGCATCTTATCTCCCAGAGGGTCATGGGCTCCCTGGGGGAGGCTGGTGTTGGTCAAGGACTTGAGAAATGGAGAGTGGTTTCCAGCCTCCCAGAATCTGGAGGCCTGTCCCTGGCTTGTGTGGCTGCAGGCGCTGGGTGGGGACTGTGGTGTCCAGAGCACTGTCTCCTCCCACCCAAGTGTGACATGCAGAAGCTGACTGTGGATGAGCTGAAGCGGCTGCTCTACGACACCTTCTGTGAGCACCTGTCCATGAAGGACATCGAGAACATTATCATGACGGAGGAAGAGAGCCACCTGGGCACGGCTGAGGAGTGCCCCGTGGATGTAGAGAGTGAGTAACTGGCCCCTGCCTCCCCCCTCCCCCGCGGGCCAACTGCTTGAGCAGGGAAGGAACCAGGGGTTTGCAGAGGGGGGCTGGAGTCTCCTTGCCTGCCCTGCCTCGTGTCCCGTGTCCCTGTGTAGAAATGCTGAAGGCTCCTGGTTCCATCACTCTGCTGTCCCCTCTCTCTTTGATGCTCCCTGGTGGGCGGCCACAGCCTGCTCCAATCAGCAGATCCGCCAGACATGCGTGCGCAAGAGTCTGATCTGCGCCTTCGCCATCGCCTTCATCATCAGTGTCATGCTCATCGCGGCCAACCAGGTGCTGCGCAGCGGCATGAAATAGGCACCGCCTGGGCACCTCATCTGGCGCACGTGGTGCATGGGGGCCCCTCCACACCCACCACCGCCTGCAGTCCTCTCCCTCAGCCGCTGCCTGAGCCACCACCACTTCGTGTATATCGGGGCCTGGACATCCAGCGACCCCACCCCACCTGCCCTTGCATGGAGCCGTGGCCCAGCTGTGGAGGGCCTGGTGGTGGCTCTGAGGACGGCCTCCAGCCCTGCCTGTACCCTGCCCCTGCCCCACCCTGGCCTGTATGTAGCACTAACTCTCGCCACTGTCCAGGGGCTCCTGGGAAATTAAGGAGGAGTTTGTACAGGGCCCAGTAGCTGCTGTGGCCCCTTAGGCAGGAAGGGGCACCCTGTGCCCAGGGCCACACAGCTAGCCGGACCCTGGTCCCTGAGGTTTGGGCCATAGGCAGGGTGCTGGAGGTGGGACAGAAAGACTCTTTGGGGGTGGGGGGGCATGAGGCAAGGGTCTCCTGGGCCCTACTCCTTGGCATTGGCTGAGAGGGCCAGGGGCCTTCTCACCTTCCTTAGACTTAAATCCAGCCCTTCTTCACATACCCACTGGGGCCAAGAACCAGCCTATTTCACAGATGAGAGCCCAAGGCTCAAAGAGTCCCCAGATTTGGCCTCAGTTCCCCCATCAATAGGATTTTCAGGACGTGCTGAAGCTTTTGGAGGATGGGGCAACTGAGGTGGCCCTGCAGTCACCCCACAAGAGGCCCAGTAGCCTGAGGGCTACATTGCCCACTACCACCCCAGCACAGAATTTAGAACTGGAGTACAGTTGAGGAAGGAAACAGAGGGGCCTAGAGGCTCCATATTGCCTGATCAGCCTGTCACCTTCCCACTGGCCAGAGGCTCCTCTAGGGCAGAAGCCTTGGAAGCACTCATGTCCATGCCAGGAAGCTTGCCTAGGCCACTGTTTCAAGCCCAGGGCCTGTCTTGCCCCATTTCTCTACACTGAAGAGGCTGGAGACCCAGCTTCCATCCCTGCCCCAGTTGTGCCATCTCACGCTCAGGCACCAGCTCAGCACGGGCAGATGTGGGGACTGGGAATGGCAGACCGAGTCCTTTAGCTCCTCTCCCCAGATCTGGAGCCACTTCTCAAATGGGTGATAACAGCCACACTGGCCACCCTCTTCTGGCCCCCAAGGGAGAAGGGCAGCAAGCACTGTCACCCTGGAGAAGACCTCCTATCACTCCAGTCCTGCCCATCCTCTGACCAGGGGCCAGAGCCCGGAGCTGAGGGCACCCGGCAAGGGGGAAGCGTAGCCATATCATCATAGTGACATACTTTCTTTATAAACATCCAGCAGGAAGTTTTCTCACCCATGCTCTCAAGATGGCCCATGAGGGAGGGAGGGTGAAGCAGAGTGGCACAGAGCCAGGGCCAGGGCTTCACCTGGTGGGGGAACTCCTGGGCTTCAGCAAGGCCAGGCCAGGCAGAGCTAATAGCTTCAGAGGCTCTGTGGGGCACAGCAGGCAGGGACCTCAGCATCCCCAGTATGAGCCCTTATCTTTACTGTGACTGAAGTGGGAGCGACCTGGTGGGGGTCAGGTGGGAAGAGGGACTAGCCCCACTGGACGCTGGGCTGCAGGGGCCAGCCCCCAGGGGGGGGTGCCCGCAGAGATGGAGGCAGCTCCTGGACTGGTGGCCAGCCCACTGGGTACTGGAAGACAGTGGCTCTGATGGGTTCAGCCCTAGAAAGGAGGAGAAGGGTAGAGAATTAGAGTGGGGCACAGCCCAGGCAGGCCAAGGCTGGGGTGCTCCCCCAGCTCACCCTCCCGGCTACCCTGGCTGTGCGGAGGGTCGACCTTTCTGGAAGACAGAGCCTAAAAACATGTAGACCCTTTGAGCTAGCAACCTCACTTCTAGGAATGAACCCAAGGAAATAGCGGGGTGTGGGCAGAGATTGAGGTACAAGAAACAGAAATAACCTAAGTGTCCACCTGTGGGGGATTGGTTAAATATATATGCACGTCCACAGCAGAGAATGCTATGCAGCCTGTGTAAATTGAGACAGATTTATATGCACTGATGAGGAAAGGTATCATGATGTACTGTGTGAGTAGTAGAAAAAGCAGCTTATAAAATAATGTATATAGCATGATACTATTTTTGTTTAAAGATATATAACATCTATAAATGCATAAAAAAAACCTTGAAGACAGCAAAATGTTAAGAGTGGTTCCTTCTGAGTGGTGCAATTATGGGTATGGTGTGTTTTTTAACTTCCTTATACTTATCAAGAAAAGTTTTACAAGCATGCAAGCCTTTGAAATCTGAAACAAAATACTGTCTAAAATTTTTTTTAAAGCCTCATTTCTCAAGCTGCTCACTCTCCTTCCCCTTAAGGTCCACCAACCCTGGAACCACATCCTGAGAACCCAGGGCCTCTTTGAAGTACCAACCCTGGGTGCCCAGTCTGGGGCTGCCCTGTCCTAAGGAAGCTGACTGAGGTGCAGAGGCAACCTGCCCCTACCAACTATTCCACATTCCAATCCTTCTGGACTTGACCCTGCTCAGGCTGTCACTCCAGGGAGCACTCTGAGAGCTCACTGGGGGCTCAGGTCTCCCCTATGGGATTGAAGCTTTCAGAGGGCAGATACCAGGGACTAGGGATGGGGTCCATCTGTCCCCCAGTGCCCAGAGCTGGGCCTGGCACAGGGAAGCCACCTAGTGAATGTTTGCCAATGACAAACAGCAGCGCTGAGTGCTGTGACTGACTAGCTATTCCAGGCTAGACACCACGGCCTAGAGAAACATCAAGAATTGCCATGCAAACCCCATTTCATAGATGAGGCCACTGCGGTATATGGAGTTAGTCACATGCCCGAGTGACACAGTCCGAAGATAAGGGCTGAGTGGCTGGAATGTGACCTACACATGGGCTCCAGACCCCCCCCACCCCCAGCTTTAGCTCCAGCAGCATCCAA